TCGTTTCGGTTCGATAATTTTCAAGTGTTTTTATTTAGATTAATAAGTTTTCTTTTTATTTTATCGTTCCCCCCCCCAGTATAATTAGGTATGAAATATATTGCGTTATTTAATCATTGGTTTTGTTTATATTATTTAATTTAGGAATTGTAATTATTTTTAAAAAATAAATATGAGAATTTTGTATTTTTTAAACTTGATTTTCTTGTCTAAACTTGCAAATTTTTTTATTCTTTTAAATGTTATATTTCTACCATTTTTTTTTCTTTTTAAAGTTAGGAGTACCTTTCTTTTTTCTCTTACTTTATGCATTACACTTTTTCCTTGTACTTTGGGTTCGATAAAACATCGATTAACGACACTTTTTGGTCGATCCAGAAAACCGGGAAATTCAGATATCCGGGATAGCGATGGTCCCGAGCATCCCGAATAATTGGTTCTCTACTGTACTTTTAAAACGAAAGAGACATATTTGCTTAGACATTTAACAAACATGGGAATCAATATTTCATAATTTCTAAAGTGTAAAATTTTTTTTTTTATTCTTGACAAACTAATCAATGGAGAAAAAAAAAAAGAAAAACACTGTCAAAAAAAAATTTTTTTTTTTTAATGTAAACCAACTAACAGTTGAAAACTGATTTGTATGCAGCTCAAAATATAAAAATTAAAATAAAATAGTAAAAATTAACAATACCTTCACTACTTGATTCCAAAATGGATGCATAACATAATTGCTTAACGGGCTTGTGTCGATTGCACTATACTAAAAAATAAAACAATCATTAAACAATAGGAAGCAAGGAAGAATAATATAAAAAGATAAGTAAAACAGTGCAGACCAGTTTCTCTCTTTTTTTAAAGGCACACACGCCTCACCTAACCCCTGCTTAAACTTTTATAATCCTGTTCATAAAACAAATACATAGCTTACATAGAATAAAAATCGAAATTATTCACAAAATTAATCTAAAATTGTTTGTTTAACTTGATGAGTTGTCATTCCTTTTTTTTTAGAATCAAAATGTGACCTTGTAAGACAGACTTAGTAAAATATTGTGAGGTACCCACACACTTTAAATTAAGGTTGAAGATTTTTTTTTATTTTTCATTAATTTAAAATGTTTTATTTATTTGATATAAATCATATTCCTTATTTGAATTGAATTTTCTATTTTTCTTTAGAATATTTAAGAAATTTATTTAATAATTAGTTAAATTTTATAAATATAGTTACATAACATTAAAATATTATTAATAATAAACTCAGTGGCGCGACAGCCCTAGAGGGCCAAGGCCTACTGTGCCCATCTCAGTTTTTTTGACCTTGGGCTCTAAGGTGCAGAAGCAGATGTTCCGGTCAGGTGGTCAGCATAACGCGGAACCCCTAGTGTTTAGTTCCCAAGTATGCTTGGTACTCATTTATCAACCCACTGAAGGGATAAAAGGCTGAGTCAACCTTGCCCGGCTCAAGGATCGAACCAAGGACCAGTGGCACGACAGCACGAAGCGCTACCGCTCAGCCACCGGGCGTCTAAAATATTATTAAGAATGAAATATAAAAAAAATATTTCTAACTATATTAAAGTATTAAGTTTTATGGCAAAACATAATCCATGCAGGTGCACGATTAAAACGCATAGAAAATGTGGAACATATGCATTATCCCGTTGACCATTTTTGCTAAAAATAAACCAAAATTAGCCAAAACATAGCTTTAGCACCAATATTGGAGTAGTATGTATTACAATTTTATAAAAAAGTAAGAAAATGTGTTAATTTTGAAAATGTTTCATTATTCTGCACTTAGTCAACGTGAAAATATAAGCATTAACAAGTATTGAGAATTTTAAAAAAATTCCACAAGTTTAGGCCAGGGTCAAATTTTTAAAAGTGCAGCTTTTTTTAGTAGGTACTAATTTTTAGATATCTTATTTTTGGAAGATAAATAAGACTCATTTTCATATTCATTACATCATCACTTCATTATTCATAAAAAAAGGTTTTAAAATTCATGAAATCCATAGGAATAACTGAAAAAAAGATTGATGAAAGATTGAAAAGAAAGACATCAAAACAAAGTTAATTAATAGTACATTTCAAGATTCACCTGTTGTAATACGGTATTATATTACAATATATTATATTATAGGGGAGAGTGGCTCCCTAGATTCACAGTACACCTTGGGACATTTTTAATTTTGGTATTAAATTTTAAGTTATCTTTTAATTCTTTTAGATTCAGATATGTCAGCAACACCTAACCTTGGAACGTATTTTGATTCTATTGATTAAGCAGGTAAGAATTTATTAGAATTTTTATTTTTTGAAGCATGTTTATTTACTTTTACGTAAAAGTTCAATTAGTTGTAGAAAGAAATTTTAAAGAATATATAATTTTTAATAATGGTTAATATAATGAAGTATAAAGCTTTGCCTTTAGATGTTATCAAATTTATTTGTCCTAATGTTAAGCCTAAAAGTATGATATTTTAAAATAACCTATTAAGTATATAGTGCACCTTGGAACAGATGGAGGTGGCCCACCTTGGGATACTAGATACCAGGGCCGGATTTACGTATGCAGGGCCTGATTAACCATTAGGCCCGAGAGGCCTGGGCCTAGGGCCCCCAAATTTCTAGGGGCCCCCACAAACCTAGTTTTTTTCTGTGTTCATGTATATATGTCTCCCGCACAGCTAAAACCTAAGAGAACGAAAATCTGAAATATTTAAAAGTGTGTTTTCATACATAGCTCATGCACTTTCTGCTTTCACCAATCAAAATCACATACATTCATTCCATGTAAAATGCTCCATAAAATATATTAATTAAATTAATATTTCTTCCTAATGTTCAAAGTAAACTGAAGTGAAAGAAAATGAATTAGTATTTTTGTTGCCTACTTGTGGTACGGCTTCTAAACAGTTTCAACTGATCTAGTATGTAAAATTGTAAGTAACAATACAAAAAAACAGATTAAAAAGTTGAAAAAGTGGGAAATGCCCATATTAGTAATATAAAGTGTTCATTATTTGTGTTTGTTTTGAATTGGATTATATTTATCGCGCGTTGAAGTAATCGATTTTAAATTTATTTTAAAGCCATAATGTCAACCCGAAAATATGCTTCTGGTAGTTTTAAAAAAAGAAAGAGAGAAGAGAAAGAAATGAGAAATGTAAGTCTTTTGAAGACAATGAAACTGTTAAATAATTTTTTTTCTGCTCCAAAACTCGCCAACANTTTCAATTTACAAATCTCACATTGTGATACATGATTTACGCAATCTTTGGGACTTACTTCACCTTTCTTATAATTTTGATTTAAATATAGTATATCTTACATATAGTATATTCATATAAATGCGATTTAAAAATCACACTTCACATTTTATAGATATATTTTAAAGAAAATAAAGCTCGGTAAGTCCTAGTTAGTTATCTGTAAAATATTGTTCTACAATAGATTTTATTATGTTAAGCATACATTATCGATATTCTGAAGTAACAAAATTGATAATTTGTTATTAAAATTGAAACATGAAAATTGTTAAATGAATTTTGAAATTTGATCTAAGATAGCAAAAAAAAAGGCATTTATATTTTAATAACCGTGCAATTACACAAACTTTATCAATTATTTACTAAGGTTGTTTAATGTAATATGCATTATTCCTTCATTCAGTTTCTATAATTCTAATTCACTTCATTAAATTTTTCATGAAAAGCTTCACTGATGCTAGTTTTTAAATGTTGACTCTATCTCAATTGGAATTTTTCAAAATGATTTGAAACAGCAATGTAACTATCAACCATTTGTATTATTAGCTGATAAATTTAATAAATAATTTTTTTGGTTGTTAAATAAGCATTTTGCTTTAAATATATAAAATTTCTGCTTCTACGTAATTGTAAAATCTGGTTGACATGTACCTTAGAACATAACTGTAATACCGAATAGATTCTTGAAAAGTTCTTGAATTTTTTTTAAAAAAATTGAGTGGGTACCCTGCTATGTTCCTTTATGTTTAAATAATTACAAATAAGTGCAAATTTGTCATACTTGCCAAGGGACACATTATCTACATTTATTTATCCCTATTTCCTAACCATAAATTATTATATAATTCGAAATATTAAATTTTTCACTTATTTTTACTATTACTTATTGCAAAATTATTTAATTATTGCAAAATCATGAAAAATGTTTTGAATGAAAAATCTTTGCCAAAGTGTTTAACCTTCTAAGATTCATGTGAATGTTTTATCTTTTGTAACTTAATATTTTTAAAAAAAAAAAGTACGGATATGTACTTTTTTTGTTCTGAATTTGTTGCGATCGGACAATTTGTTTATGGTTTTATGCAATTTTGTACCTATTTAGGCATTTTTATGCTAAATAGAAACTGAGGTAAAACGAGAATTGAATAGAGAAGGGTTTTGCGCATTTTATTTTTATATCTTACATTGCTTAGTCTTAACCATATTTAATGATTGTTCTCTTCGGTATTTTTTCTCGCTTAATTGAATGAGCTTAAAAGGAGTTATTGTTTTGCAATGTGTTTCTTTCTTTTTGTATAAAATGTACTATTTTTTAATCGTATTTATTATGAAAGAAGAAACCTTTTAAACTAAATATGCCATTGACTCAAAATTCCATATCCTTCAATTAAGCATAAAAAATTCATCTTATAATCTTCAGATGGCCCGTACGTAGCACATAGCTGCTACTGGATTTTCCAGATTACTGGATTTTTTCAGTTTCTCCTGGTCTACTGATTTAATTAAAATTCTCCTGGTTTCTGAACATTTTGGAAAATTCTCTAAAATTGAGTAAGTTTCCGACAAAAAAATCTCTATTTATACAGAATTTTTGTACAGATTATTACTTGCTTGAATATTTCAATAAGTAGTACTAACATATAATGAAGCGAGCGAGCCTCATTTATAAAAATCAGTTTAAAACTTTTTTTGTTCAAAACTGTTCAGTTCATTTTTATTCAGAATTCTCTTTTTAAATTAATTTTTTAAAAAGTCTTTTAACTATGTTTGATGAATTAAATGCTTATTAATATTCAAAATTATGAGTAAACATAATACATAACATTTTAAGTATGTTTAATGTGAAATCATAACTGGAAAATAGTGCAGTTTTCCTATTTTGATGGCTAAAATTTCCTCTGCGTAAAATATTTAGTACATACAGTAAGCAACAATTATCGTGAAATTTATATTACGTAAAATCTACTGAATTTTTTTCCTATCTGTGTTTGCAGCTATGATAGCGAAACAAAATTTGCACGTTAGTACACATCGAAAGTAATACTTTTTATACCTGAAAATACTTGCAACTTTTGAACTGTTCTTTCTATTGCCTGAACAGTTTTATTCGATTAAACATAAGAAACAAAGCTTCACTTTTTTAGATAACTATGCAAAATGCGTAAATCGTTTCTAGTATAGAATTGTGCATGAAACCCTTTTAATTTTTAGAGTATTAGTTCGATCATATTGGTCTAATTGAAAATAAGGCATCGGAAACAATGCCGTATCAAGCAGGGATGATTGTGACACAAAGTGAAAAATTTATGAACTCGATATCCATTAATATGCTATACTTGTTTATAATTTCTTTTAACTAAGATTTATAATTAAATTACTTACTTATGAAGAATATCACAGCTTTATTTTATAAGAAACTAGTTTAAGAAAAAATTTAATTCTTACAAGAATAGCGTAAATATGAATCGCGATAATGGATTTTAAA